CTCTGTTTTAAGAGCTGCATAAAAGCGTAATGTGATTATAAAACAACATTGTGATTTAGGGACTATTTTGCCTTATAATACATTTAAAAATACATTTTAGGCTAAAACCTTATCTCAAAACTATTATAAACAGTGTCTCAGGCACCATAACCATTTATTGCCATTTCACATAATAACTTTTTATGAGGTAGCTTTTAGAGACATTAAATCCATCAGACATATGGTTTCTTCCATCACCACTGTGAACAATTCAGACTCGAACAGCCCATTTCATGTTAAGCTACCCCAAATGACTGATTTACATCTTACTTATTTATGCAGTCATTGGCATATTAAAGGCTTCTGTGATGTTATAATGCAAAATCCACCATTAGATTATGTAACAAAAGACCTGTTTACATCTTTGTGTATCCAGGTCCAGAAGCTCTCCCAGTGTAGTCCTAAGAAGAAGCAGAGGCCCAAGCGTCTGGCCAGTGCAGATGGCCAGAATTTGGCTGGAGGTTTGAGTGGGGTCCGAGCTCTGCCTTGCTCCCCTGTTAAAGTTTCAGCCTCCAAAGGGCAGAGCCATCGCACAGTCAGTAAGGAGCGCCTGCAGCTCCTCAGAGGCGCCCAGAAGCTGCACTCAAGTCTCCGCCAACAGGACATTAATTGGGAAACATAGACTCTTTAATCAGCACCAGGGTACACTTCCACCTTAAAGAGTAAGCAAGTGGTGAAGAGAAGCGCATGAACTGAGAAACACTCTGATATGGGACATGACCCTTACTGAGCTATAGCTCTGAAAATGCACTAAGAATGTGTAGCATGTTTGTGGTATGAAATGAATGTAGCAGCACCAAGGTCATACAAATTGTAAGTTGTTGACTTTGGCTTAAGATTTTACAATGGCTCACTCATGGGCATTTTTTTCCATAGGCTTGTTACGTATTTGAATGTGTCCTTGTTTTCCTGAATTCTTTGTCGTCAGTGTTCACATTTTAATTTGGTTTTTATTTTCATGCTCTTCACAACTCTTTAAAGTGTATGAAAATATTAAGATATTTTAATAAAATATTGTCAAGGATTTACTTGTTCATAGTTTCATTTAGGCTTCTGCTTGCAATAAATTGCTTGATATCTTTTATTTGATGTCAAAGTTGATCTTATTTGATGTGCTTGCCATCTTGGCAGACACATTGTCTGCAATGTATCATCTTGTTCTTTGTGAAAACGCTGAATCAACTTGTTCTTGTATCTTGGATTGATGACATTCTTGGTGTACAAGCGTTCCTGTCATTTGTAAGAAGTATCTAGTTTCATATATTGAAACCACACCCTGTAATAAACTGGAAACTTTGAATCCCACACCTTGCATTGCAGTGCTATATGAGTCAGCTCTTCCAAGAAGGACTGAAATTATTAAACACCTTTTAAACTCCCCTTGTTAAAAAGGAGAATAAAAACTAAGGGTCAAGGCTAACTTTTACAACAAATAAAAACAGAAGTGTTCCTCTGCTGTGCCTGCATATGGAAAGTGAGTGTGTCACGACCAGACAGAAGGACCAGCTGCTCTGTTAGTGACATATGGCTGTTGTATGGCATATTCCTTTGGTTGGAAATCCCCAAAAAGCCCATACATGTAATTGAGCGGACATGGAAAATAAACACATTATCACCCAACATGAGCTCTTTACATGTGATGAGAGGTAGCGTGCTGAAAATAATACGTACAGGTGCTTCTAAGCAAACACAAAAATGTACTATGTAGTTCGGAACAGTCTAACATATTGGTAATAAGCTTGGTAATGAGTTTCCGTGGAAGAATGAGAAGGAATGGTGATTGAAGTGTTGCAGAAAATTTCTTAAGCAAGCATTTGGATGGGCTGCAGATTCGGTGCACCATTATTTAATGTATATGCTTTGTTTTCACAATATGATTGATCGGTTTTACACTGACCCACAGTAACATGTATTCCTTCTGGGGGGAGTACAGACATTTATTTGTTAAAGGTGTTTCTCAATTCCTGTATAATTCAATCATTGCGATGCAAACCTTTTAATGGCTTGTTCGTGATATCTCGGATTGTGTCCATCCATCTGGATTATTCACCTCTTTTACCTTCAACTGTTCCAAGCATATATATTTTCTTCAGTGAACTGGTTCTTCCAGTAATATGTCCAAAGTACTATATACTTGTTATGTATTTGAATGTGTCATTTGGGTCATATGGGCTTCGAGTGAGAGGTGAGTCTTGATTGAGAGCCAACACCAAAGTCCAGAGGCATCTATGGTTTTCCTGTCACACATTTTATTGTCCAGCTGTCACATTCCATAAAGACCCCACAGAAAAGACTGGACAGTTATGATATTAGCTTGTAGAGATACATCATTACATTTGAAAATCTTCTCAAGCTCCTTTATTCTTGTTCTGCCAAATGCCAATCCATATTTCTTGCCTGTTGGATTGTTTATTGTTACTAACTGATCCAAGTAAGCAAAGACTGTCCACCACTTGTACGTTTTCACCATCAATGTTAAAGTTAGCAATCTCTCCCATTGTCAAAATCTTTGTTTTCTTGTTCAATGGTAGTGATGGGAACCATAAAATGGGAAAATTATCTAAAACACCCAGTAAATCTACACTTCTTCTAAGTTTTTATATGTAATGTTGATCATTATAAAATAGTAGTAAATCTGAACAAATAAGTTTTCTTTGGGGATTATTTTAAAATTAATAACCTGCATGTACACTATATGGCCAAAAGTATGTGAACAGTCTTCCTAATTATTAAGTTCAGGTGTCTCAGCCACACTCACTGATAACAGGTGTATAAAATCAAGCACATAACCATGCAATTACCATAAACAAACACTGGCAGTAGAATAAGTTGTACTGAAGAACTCAGTGACTTTAAACATAGCACTGTCATAGGATGCCACCTTTGCCACAAGTCAGTCTATGAAATTCCTGTCCTGCTAGAACAATTAAGTGCTATAATTGTAAAATAAAAGTGTCTAGAAGCAACAATAGCTCAGCCACAAAGTGGTAGACCACGCAAACTGGAAGAAGGATAATGATTTGAGTCTGTTTTTCAGAGTTTGGGCTAGGCCCCTTAGTTCTTGTGAAGGGTAATGTTAATGCTACATCATACAAAGACATTTTAGACAATTACATACTTCCAACTTTGTGGCAAGACCTTTTTTTACGTTATCAGTTTAATCTATCTTGAATATAGAGAAAATAAAGAAAGTGATACTCAAAATATGAGATAAAAACAGGATAAAGTTTACAGACTTCTGGGTCTGGAAAAAATGTAAAGAAATAACAAGGACACACATACACTTTTCATACACTCTTTACACACATCCAGTAACACTGTGGAGGCAAGGACATACGCACACAAAAGCACAGAGAAAAGGTGAACTCTGTGTTTTGTCCAGCCAGTCTTATCGAATTATGTTGTGGCTCTCAATAAATTGCATTACTTCAGCAGAAAGCTATGGCAGTCAGGAAGACTGTTCAACACAGTGAACCCTGCACTGATTCTCAGTGCTTCTTCTGGAACATTTGGAAGACACTTCCCATCTTATTAGTCAACAATGTGGAATTTGGTTGACTGTAGAGGATTTGTGTTCCATTGTGTGCTGGTAGAGGTTGAAGATGGTGTGTGCTCAGTGTGCATGTACAGTACTCTGCAAAAGTCAGAGACCACCCTTTATTTATTTGATTTTCTGTCAAAATGGCCATTAAGCACAAGTTATTCATGCTTGAGGAGATGACTACAGATGATTTGACAAAACAGGAAGATTAAATAGGCAGATCTCTCATCTAGTGCTGCCATCTGCAAACGGAGATGTTTAGAGTAATAAAATTGTAGAGTAATAAAAATGTTGCAACATTTTTGCTGTTCTTAAAAAGCTTTTCAACTGTCTGTGTAGAAAACAGTCTCTTTCACACACGTCCTGTCCAAAATAGATGCGGTCATTTACTGCTGGCTCAACAGGAATTAAAGTGACCCTCAGGGTGAGCATGTATCCTGTTAGCTGTTCTCTGTGGAGTGGACTGGACAGATAAACCGACCTTATGGCTTGATATTACATGACTACACCAACATAATGAGTCGAATATACTCAATGAGCACTTTATGAGGTACACCTACCTTTTATCTGCACTCACTGTCTATTTTATCAGCTCCACTTACCATATTTACTATGTAGGTGCACTTTGTAGTTCTACAATTACAGACTGTAGTTCCTCTGTTTCTCTGCATACTTTGTTAGCCCTCTTCCACCCCATTCTTCAATGGTCAGGACCCCCACAGAGCAGGTACTATTTGGGTGGTGGATCATTCTCAGCACTGCAGTAACACTGATGTGGTGGTGGTGTGTTAGTGTGTGTTGCGCTGGTACAAGTGGATCAGACACAGCAGTGCTACTGGAATTCTCAGTGTCACTGCTGGACTGAGAATAGCCTTTCAACCAAAAATTTCTAGCCAATAGCATCCTGTGGGCAGCGTCCTGTGACCACTGATGAATGATTAGAGGATGACCAACACAAATTGTGCAGCAACAGACGAGCTACTGTCCCTGACTTTTCATCTACAAGGTGGACCAACAAGGTAGGTGTATGTAATAGAGTGGACAGTGAGTGGACAGCGTTTAAAAACTCCATAAGCACTGCTGTGTCTGATCCTCTCGTACCAGCACAACACACACTAACACATGCCCATCACGATTTCAGTGTCACTGCTGTGCTGTGCAGTGCATCCAAATAATACCCTTGAAAAACAGGGTAAAAGGGGGCTAACAAAGTATGCAGAGAAACAGATGGACTACAGTCTGTAATTGTAGAACTACAAAGTGCACATGTAAGGTGAGTGGACCTGATAAAATGGATAATGAGTGTAGAAACAAGGAGGTGTTCAGAGTTTATTTAATAATGAGAGTAAGTGTGTGAGGATGGAAGGATGGGCAAATAAAATAAATCAGTATGAAAGACAGGTTATCTACTGAAGCCATGTTTAAGGGAAAAATGGCAGCATTTATTTTTGTATTAAGTAACACAAGGCCAGTTTCAAGACATTTTCAAAATGATCACACATGATCTGACCAACTTATTATTCGATTTGTTGGTTGGATGAGGTGTGAGGTTGCAGAATGTTCAGCCAGCACAAAATATAATCATTAAAAGACTTCACCATTAGCTATTAGTCAATGATTAATTTTGTACCATGCTTGTGTGTACAAAAGCTACAATAAAGCCTGCACCAACTTCCTTCTAATATCCTGTATACGTATATGCATGTGTGCATACTTTCAAAAATATTTAAGTATATTTGCCAAAAACGCAACACTGTTTATTGACAGTGACGTACTAACCAATGTTTATTCTTTTTTTTTGTAATCTTCCCTTGCTTTGCAGTGATGTCCTTTTCTTCTATATGGGAAGAGTCTTCACAGACTTTGTTGATAGTCGTTCACACTAAACACTTATTTATAATAGTAATAATAATAATAATAATAATAATATTTATCAAATGTAACACACCTGATTCAGTTCATCAAGCCTTCGGGAGAATGTGAATGGGTGAATCAGGTGGATCTGATTAGAGCCACAATAAAACTTGGTGATGACTGGTAATCATCAGAAGCTTAACTAATGAATAATCAGGTAGTTATACAGTATTGCTGCAGATACTTAGTCAGATCTTCTTGTTCTGTATTAAAAAATATTGCTGTCTGTTATTTCTTTAAAAAATATCTATGAGAGCAGGTTACTGTCCAACAAACGGTCGTCTAACAGGTCTCCAAGTGATCTGTCATGGTGCTACTGGAAAGCCTTCGTTCTGAACTATGTGTGATGTATGCATTGCACTATAGGAAGCAGATAACACTTGTGTGCAAAAACAAAGGACCTCTTCAACATTGTATGAGAACCATGCTGTAGATTTTAAATTATAAATCGACTCTATGATATCTGGGGCCTCTCTCACGAAACAGGATTGCTTGCTCAGCCAGCTAATTTCGAACTTTAAGCTCAGTTCGATCTGACCCTGGATTTTTTATGATGGTGGATCACTTTCTACCAGGTTACATCACCATGGCAACTTATACTGAACACTTATCCTGCTCCTGAGCAGGTTAAGTTCACAATTAAAGATAAACATCTTTTAAACCGATCAGAGACAGCCTTCTGGTGGAAGAGGAACTTTCCATTCTGTTTTGAGTCACTTTTTTTTGGTTGTGAAATCTGTGGCATGTTAAAAAAAAAAGATCACTTTTTAGTGGAGGAAACAAATCAAGCTACATAAATGTCAAGAATATAAAGCAATTATTATAAATTATAATATAATATTAATATAAATGCTTTATAATACTTTCTTCATCATTCTTCTGTTAAAAACAAACTCATGTTTCGTAAGACTGGCTGTTCGCCATAAACTTCACAATTATGTGCATGAGAAAGACGATCAATCATTACTTGCGTATCTAAACATGATTTAACAGATAAGGTGGTCTGGAACATTGAACGAGTCTCATGAGTCAGGCCCCAGGACACATTACATGTATAAAAAACACAAAGAAACAAAAAAAAAAATTGCTTACGCAACCTTGTTTTACAATTTTCAAATTTTAATTAATTAATGATTTTAACATTTTTAACCTAATTGCAACTGCAAAAACGAAAGAAAAAAAAAACAAAAAGGGATTTCAGGAAAATAAAACCAACATAACAGAGCTGAAAACATTTTAAGGCAGACTTTGTGGCAACATAAAGCGATAGCAAGTGTAGGTGCATGTGTGTGTGTGTGTGTGTGTGTGTGTGTATATGTGTGTGTGTGTGTGTGTGTGTGTGTGTGTGTGTGTGTGTGTGTGTGTGTGTGTGTGTGTGTGTGTGTGTGTGTGTTTGCACTCAAATAAAATGCATTCAGAGAACCTTTAACACATCTGGACACACCTCAGGTAATCTATGTTTTGAATGCATCCTGTTTGTGTACAACAAGACTAAAAAAAATAAACACAAACACATGCACTAACAAAGGAAATTAATGATGGCATGTTACACAAACCAATCTAATGAGCAACAAGAAATAAACAGAGTGGACGATGGTGTAAGCCAGCCGCTATATTTTAACCAGCTCTCTGGGTTTATACATATTAGCACTGAACTCAATTTTCACTCAGGCAAGAACATGCAAAGTCCCTTTAAGAGTTCTTCATCATTTAACCTTCCGCATAAATAAGGCACTTTGTCTTCAGGAGGTGCAACACAGAATGAGTGACTATAACTATGAAAGCAATGACACAAAGCAAGATAGAGGGAAGAGAGAGAGAGAGAGACAGGCAATGTTAGGCACTCCTAAGTGGTTCTCTGTGGGCAGGACTCTGGAACTCTAACCCATCATCATTCCACATTCCCTCTTACAGGCTCCAGCTTCAGACCAACACAACAGGATCTTTGGATGTAGCCTAACACTGTTTACGCAACAGTGTGACTTGAGTTAGTTACACTCTGTATCTATGGCAATCAGCAACAAAAACAATTACATGGCAGACACTATGCAGAAAAGACAGAAAAGACAAACAATTATAATAGCATATTTTTCCATTTGGCAGATTTCAAGCAAAAAGGCAAGCACTCTTTTTTTCTTTGTTTTAACATTAAAATATGACTGACAATCCCAGTGCAAGGCAAAAAAAAGCTGATGGAGCAATTTAGCAACCCCCAAATCATGCTAGGTTAGACAACTTTGGCGTAAAAGCAATCCATTCAAAGAACGCACAATTGGCTTAAGTGGTTTCGGTGAAGTGTGTGGGAGGCCTTAACAGCAGACGTTTAATAAATCAAAACCAAAATGACAGCAATATTAAAGCGTATGAGCGGAGTCATCAGTTTGTCAGCGAAAGAGCATGGCACACAAAAAGGAAAGCCCTCAAACAACAGCACAAAATCAAGGGGAAAATCTAAAAGAAAAAATGAAAGAGTAATAAACTATTCTGAAATTACCTTGTCTGACAGAATGACAAAGAAATTTCAAAACAGAGGACATCACATCAGTAGCAGCAAGCTAATTCAAGACGATTCGTTTCAATGTAGGAATTCCAACCCTTCTTCTCTGTTCAGCCACTATTCTTCTTAGTTAGATGCACATTCTTATGGTGGCCAGATAAAAGCAACTATGAACAGAGTATCAAACAAAGTACATGAAATGCCACGTATCGTACAAGGAATTTGGCTTGGTCAGCATTCAATTCAGGCTTAACCTACAGTCATCACAGACTGCGATGATTACACATATCCAAAAGCAGGCAAGCAAACGCAACCAAAAGAAGTGGCCTTGAGAGTTTCTAAAAGGGGAATTCAAGCTTGAGAAACCAGCTGAACATTTCCTAAATCATCCTTGCTTATGCAGGCATAACGGCTCTGATCATGTTTTTTATGTACTTTTTCAGCACTTGGCTTGTTCATGTCTCTGAGGCTGTTAGCACAAGGACAACAATAGGAGGATATGAACAAATTCTGACCTGTGGCTAAGCTGACCCCTGCCTTCCCTTGACCTGAGCGATGAAAAAAAGAACACATCCTAGCAAAATCTCTGAGTCTTCCTTCTTCCTATTTGGCAGGCCAAAAAGAAGCTCCCAAAAACATATAGCGGCAGCCCCCCCACATCAGGAGCAATTAAAGTACCTTTTATTGTTTTTACTTAACTGTTCTCATATGACTAAATGCAAATTAAGCACATGGCAACAAAGTACTTCAAATGACTGCCCTTAAAAGGACAAATGGGTGGTGGACAAGTAAGCAGAGAAAAGCTCTAGCCTGTGCGAGAACCAACACGTGGAGCACAAGGCTAGCCAGAGAGCCAATGCTTTTAGGTGATGATACAAACTGTGACATGGAGAACTTTTGACTACTGATAAACTAATAATTTATCCATTAATATACTCTTTATAATATAGCAATCAGTCCGGCTGGCAGACTCTACATCAATTCCATTGATAAAACTGAGCACACGCTTGTGCAAAACACCACATCTGTGTGTGTGCGCATACAAACACGAAGCCCGCTCCAGCAGGAGGCGGCAGACCACGAAACACATGCATCGCATCAACGAGTAGTCTGCACTCACACATTCATACTTTTAAGGCTCAGAGGGAGGGAGTGGAGAAAAAGAGCATCAATAACCTACAACAAGCTGAACAAGCCACAGCAAACATAAACCCCAAAGGCACGTCAACGCAAACCGTCACTGTTCCTGACTATCCCTCCACATTTCTGGCTTACAAAACACTAGTACGTTACCAGTACAGAAGGTGGCTAGTGGGTTTATTCTGACTAATCCTGGCAACAGGTACCAGACCAGATTCAGTTCTACTACAGACATTAACGGCAAAAGGTTGAGCTAGGTATTGTGATTTATTGCAAAGACGTCATGCTTTCTTGTGTAGTGAAAACGAGCTGTTATTTTTACTAGGACCACAAGATACCACAACCAAAAAAAAGTGCAGAAATGGCCTGTGACTTTTTTAGCAAGGCTTTAAGCAAAAAAAAACAAAAAAACAAAAAAAAAAGTTACAAAAAAAATCTCCACTTATTAACTTAAATTATTCTTCACTGATTTTCAGCATGCAAGTATGGCTTCAGGGATTGTGGGTAGGTGGACCTTTAAAGTTTACCTTCTTTCTTATAAGGCCAAAAAACAGTGAACAGGGCAGGCTGCAATCAGCACCAAAAATACAGACTAGCCAGTGTGACTTCACTCAACACTACTGTGTGTCAAAACATCATAACCCAGTTTAGATTAAGCTAAAGTAAGTGGGAGCAGGGTTATTTCCATGGGCAAGCATGAACTCATGGCATCAAACTTTCACTTCACTAGAGCAGTGGCATTCAAAACCATCTTACCATTTTTTACAATTGCAGTAATACAAGTGGAGTAAAACGGCAGCTTCAACATAACCACCTTGGATTGGCTGAGGCAGTAATCTGCGTATGGTCCTTAATTACTATAAAATGCAGAAGCTGTTGGGATAAGTATTGGTGAAGTGTTGAACAAGACCAGACAGTTACAGTGGGGAGCAGCTCTGAATAAGAATACTGTCACTTATAGAGACCACAATGCCACTGCTCTAGGTGCCACATTTAGGCCACCACTTTCTGTTTGTGTGTAGAACTACACATTTGTGTGAGCCTTCACTTCATTGAAATGTAAAGCTCAAACCACAGGCATCAAATACATTATCATGGCTGACAACACAGGAGGATTGAGGAATACAGGTTGTGTGTGTCAGAATGAGTGTGGGGATGTGTGTGTGTGTGTGTGTGTGTGTGTGTGTGTGTGTGTGTGTGCATGTAGTGCAATGTGCTGCCTCCAGGTGGCGTCATATGTTACAGAGTGTGGTAGTTGCGGTCCTTGGACTTGCAAAACTTGTAGAGGAAGAAAATGACAGCCTGGAGACCGAGCACTAGCACGATGCCGCCGATGAAACTGGCAGCGTCAAACGTAGACTTCTTCAAAGGAGCTGGTGGTGCTGCTGTCGTGGTGTCTGTTGAAAAGGCATTACCTGAATCAATTTTTGGGTGAAGCAAACAAATGCTATACTCGCATTTTTCGTTTTCTAGGCTATAACAAATACATTACATGGCCAAAACTTTGTGGACACCTGACCTATATGAGCTTGTTGGTTAGCCTAATCCAAAACCATGGGCATTATAGGGAGTTGGCCTTCCCTCTGCAGCTATAACAGCCTCCACTCTTCCGGGAAGGCTTTCCACAAAATCTTGTATGTTGAGTGTCCGGGAATTTGTGCCCATTCAGTCAAAAGAGCATGTGTGAGGTTAGGCACTGATGTTTGTTGAGAAGGACCATTAACCCTCCTCCACCAAACTTTACTGTTTGCACTATGCATTTCAGTAAGTAGCATTCTCCTCACATCCACCCAGATTTGTTCATTAAACTGCTAAATAGTAAAGTGTTTTTCATCACTCCAGAGAACACATTATCACTGCTCCAGAGTCCAGCAGGGGCATACTTTACACCACTTCAGCGGACGCTTGACATTGCGCATAGTGATCTTAGGCTTGTGTTCAGCTGCTAGGCCATAGAAATTCCTTCTATGAAGCTTCTAACGGACAGTCCTTGTGCTGATTTTGCTTCCAGAGGCAGTTTGAAACTCTCTAGAGAGTTATTCAACATAAGACTGACACACAAACTACACACTTCCACATTCAGCAGCCCCGCACTACGAGTGTGCGTGTTGGTGCCCCTAGATGCTTCCATTTCAAAATAATAATATTTGCAGTTGATCGGGGCAGATCTAGTAGAGCAGAAATTTCCCAGCGATTAGTGGCAAAGTTGGCATCTTACAAGAGAGCGAGGTTGAAAGTCACAGAGCAGTATGACCCATTCTCCTGCAAATGTTTGTCTATGGAGATTGCATGGCTATGTGTAAGATTGTTTTGTGTGCGTGTTTTTTTTTTTAAACACATGTTGGCAAAGGGTGTAGCTGATACACCTGAACTCAACAATTCAGAGGGGTGTCCACATACTTTTGGCCACACAGTGTATTTTCAGAAAAGACAACAGGTCAACAGCACTTACTCAGTGTGGTGCCATTTTGGGTTGGAGCGGCCGTGGGTGGTAGGCTCGTATGTTGAGAAGCTAAACAACAAAATTTGATTTAACAACTCAAGCTACTTTAGTAAGTCAATATTTCATTAAATTAAACGTGGATTCTCTATTATGTATATTAAAATGTGAGTGCAATAAGCTTTTACTTGTGTTACTCTATGCAAACAAGGTGTGTTAACCATAATAATGCGGGTGCACACTCATTAACTTCTGTTAAAATATATGAGGGTGTTATGCCAATTGTGTAGATGGTAAAGCATGTAAGAGTGAGGCATTTTACCTGTAGGAGCAACAGAAGTGGTGTTGGGTGTCGTGAAGTTATGTGTGGGAACCGGAGTACTTGGTCCAACTGGAGAGAGAGGGAAGAGGTAGTTAGAATACTACTGAAGGCTTATAACAATGTATTGCATATTGACGTTTTATTATTTAGGAAGCATTTTAGATAACAGATGGGAGCTTACATGAGCAAGAGATGTTGGTGCAGTTCTTGTCATACTCAAGACTGGCATTATAACAGCTACTGTTACCGCCTAAAAAGTAAACAAAAACAAGTTAAATCACACATCCTGAGAGAGGATGAAAGAGGGAGTGTGTGTTAGTTTCGATTCGGAGTCTTCAGTTACAGGTACACATTTACAGACTTAGATTAATTAACATTCTTCAACTGAGCTGGCATACATCTTAATTTATTTGTATTTTAGCTTGCACTTTATGCTGTTAGATGAATTTAACTGTTAGTCCTCCATCTCTAGTCAACAATACATATAAATGAGCCTCTCACTGATAAAAGAGATCATACAAAGATGGACATCATTCAAGTTCCTTAGATGCAAGTCTCCTAGTGTACAAAGGCCTCTGTTTATTAGACGGATACAATGCAATCCTGGTAAAAACAGTGCATCCAGGGAATTAAACATAAAGGCATATATCACACAATTAAAGGGTGGGCGAGAATAGCTTTCCTAAGAATAGGATAAGGGTGATCCTAGATTACCTTTTTTAGTTTAAGATACTCAATAAAGCTCCCAAGCACTGACATTGTGGAAAGGGGTGCCTGTTGTAAATCCTGCTCTATCATATACAAGTGCATTACTTTACCTTGCCTTGTGTAAACAAAAAGTAAAAAAAGTAAAAAAAAGAAAAAAAAATGCAAACATATGATTCTGACTCACCATGACTGGTGAGAAAAGAATAGAACAGAATATTTTTGAGTCTGTGAGAGTGAGCGTAGGGACGTGCAATGAGTGGGACTGGGATACCAGGAACAGTATAGGAACAGCATGTGCTGAAATTTGCATCTCACATGCATATGTGAAAGGTAGCACTGTCTTGGGCATTCCATGTTGTGATGACATCACTCTGAAAGCAGGGTCACTTTGCACACCAAACGTAGTCATAGTAGCAGATTTAACAGTTAAATAGCTTAAATAGCTCTTGACTCTCACTTTCCAAGAGAATGATCATTTTGTTTTTACAAATTCTATGCAGATTATGCAAATCACACCAGGAAGTCTACAGACAGATCCTATTGATTGTTTTAGTTTTAAAGTGAGCAAGCAGGCTTTCTCTAATGTAGACAATATGGAGATGTTTTATTGTTCATCAGAGCATTAGAGTTTGAAGAGGCTGAAACTTTCTTTAAAACAAACCTAATATTTTGTCAGAGAAAAATACAAGAAGACTGACAGTTTGCTGTAACACATTCACACACGTTCATATTTTTATGAGGGAATGTGGTTTTGTGTTTGTCCTTAAAAATGAATAAAATAATTAGTTTCTGAAATGATTTCTGCATGTACCTGTGCATTCTGTTCCAAAATGGCAACAAACTAATCCCAAAACTGTAGATAAGAACACACTTCATTGGCTCGGTCCCTTTAATGAAAGGCTTTGAATAGGCTCACTTGAAAAAGTTTGTTACGTTAGTATTTGATTCTCTGTTTGGTATTTAGAAGTTTCTGGGATTTTTTTTTTTCCAGACCACAAAAACTGTAGCCTAAACGACAAAATGTTTCATCAGCAAAGGCCTTTAAAAAAGAACAATTATTGTTAATATATGGAAAATGCTAAAAATCAGTCAATTATAGCTGGTTTAGTGGAATGCATCACTTATTCACTCAGGGCATCATGCCTTTTTTGTAAGAATAGTGATAATTGAATACCACTGTGGAAACTAATTGTGGTCAGCTTAAATGCATTCTGTTCACATAACTGCACCAGGCCTAATGACTGCTTTCAAAGGTGATTCTGAGAATACAGCATTTGTAGCCTGTAAATCGCTTTTCAGGCCTGCCATAATAGTTTTTTGTATAGTCTCTCTCAGGTCTTTACCCAGTCAAAATAGCGTTTATTGGCAGTGATGGCACATACTACATAACACAGATCAACAATGACTGAGGCTTCTTCCTATCTTATCAGTTTAAATGCATTTAACTGGGTCAGCAGATATTTCTGGTTGTAGTCTCAGCAATGCCCATTTTCTATCACATTCATTCAAGTTTAGGTTGTGTCTTTGCTATCATGCCGCAGGTAGTCTTCACTATCCAAATGCTGTGGCTCAGTGACTGCCATGCAAATCTCTTGGACCCCTCCAGGCTAGACCTAGTCCCTGCAGGGAACCACCCAGACCAATGATGTCACTAATACAATACAGTGCAAAACTTCTGGATTAATAATCAACACTGAAGTGCAATTAACATTTTGATTAGTGACCTCATAGATTGTAATAAAAGCTACTCAACCTCTTGCTCAAAAAACACCATAGCACACCAAAGGAACATAATGATTCTGTTATGTGAGAGATATATATATATATATATATATATATATATATATATATATATATATATATATATATATATATATATATATATACACCACAAAAACAAACAAAAAATGCTTTGAGCTGTTAGCCCAAAGCGAATGCTGCAGGCTTTGTTATGGGAGAGGGCTCGGTTGCAAACGCCAAATCTGCCCAGTCCTGTCGAACCGCTTTCACTCCACCCTGCAGTGGCTTTAAAAGCCATAAGCACTGAAACACACACTGGGTGTGGAAATAGGTGCCTTCTGATCTGGCTTTGAGGACAAAGTCTGCTCTCACTTGTTTGTCACAGCTGTGAGGGAAGTGGTTTATGTAGTTTCAAGTAGTCTGAAGGGGGAACTCCACCAATTTTACCGACACCTTGCAGGTTCGCAGGTGGATGGAATGGCACACTTTTTTGTTGTTTTGAGTCAAAAGTTTATTTAAATTTGCATAAACAAACTATACTTATATACCTATTTTGTTCATTCTTTTCCTCAACAAGTTCATAACATGTAACATGCTGCGTATTCACACTGGAAGCTTGCTCAGGCGTTTGCCAACCAGTTGCTAAGCTATTGTACACAGCGATTCATTTTCATTTGCAATGAATACAGCATGGGGAGGTCCATATCATTTGACGATCAGTTCTCCTGACAAGATGAAAACGCACTCTGTGGCCTATTTGTTCTTTTCAAAACACTGCCAGAGTGGCAGAACACAACGCTGTGTTCCAACAACAGCAACTTAGCTACCTGACACATAATTTCCAAGACATGGGAAATGCACTGCCTGCAAGGCTGGAACGGCAGCACAGCCAGCTCTGCCAGGGTTATGTGCTCATGTGCAACTGGGTGGGTCAGCTAAAACAGTTAGAAGCTCTGGACACCAGTAGCGTATAAGACCACTGTAGAGAAACAATCATCCAAAGAAACTGAACTGATGAATCATATTATTATGTGAAAAATACCACAATATTATGCCATTACTGTAGACCAGTGATAATTTGACTCAAAACCCTTTTCTTTAACTCCTAGTTAGGAAAGCATCTCTGTGACAGGGAATAATGCTTGCTGACCAAACATGTGCCTTCACTGTCCAGAGGTTTGTGTGTGGGTGAGGCAGGGCTGCTGGCCTAAACCCAGTGCCTTAAAAGTTACTTATAAAAACGATGGGCAAATTTAGCCAGCAGTGAACTTTCTGACAACATTGCCAGCTTACTTGCTTTGGCATATTTATTGGAAAAGCTTGGAAAGAAATCACCTAGACTGACCACGCTAGTAAACCTCTGCCAACACTGCTGCTTATATAATACACTACAGCCTAAAAACGTGATAAAACCCTGGTGCTGAAACAGTGCACGTGTGAGCATTCACTTCCATTAGTTTGTTTATACTCCTTTTTCGTCATCTTCTAGTAAGAGGCTTCCCAGGGATCACCAACCCTGAGACAACTGGACAACTCCCACGCTCACATGCTGACTGTCAACTTCTTGAAATCACCAGTACTCACCCAGAGGCACTTCAGTCCAGCCTACTAAGATTTAAAAATAAATATTATACTAAACAAATGAGACACTCAGTATGCCACTTACATTTATGTTGGCAGAACAAACATGAATATGCTTGCAGTTAGTCTATGAAACACAGGACACACAGGGCTAGATATTAAATCCCACAGATCACGTGTTCCTAAGGGTCTAAATCAAATTATCTACACAAGGCAGCGGTGAGGTGCTGATTTTGTTCAGAAAGTCACAAATGGATCAGGTGACCTGTATCGTGGAAAAAGTCACATCAACAAAAGGCTTAAGTCTTTTATGAGAGTTACAAGTATTACTCCTCAGTGCACTTATTTTCATATTAATTGTCATATTGGATTAGTTTTTTTTAAATGGATTAGAAAACAGACACTGGCAGGGCTGGTCCGAAAAACTTTACAGGCCTAGAATACTGATTGGGAGTTTCAAACAAGTATGTGAAAAATAACATGTATATTTCATAATTAACCATAATTTGATGTAGACTATTTGTTTTGGATGGTTAGTTTTAATGAAATTTAATTCAAATTGTGACAAACTAGAGATGAACCAATAGCATTTTTCCCCTTCCAATACTGATACTAACTCTATATAACCTAACTAGTGTACAAGTCCTGAAATTTATATGGTTCCACTTTTCTAATATTTTACTTTGGCAAATGCTTGGTAGAAAAGTGCTCTGTGTCACTAATAAAACATATCAAGCTTTAATAAGGGCAATATACAATACACCAAACATGGACAAACCTGTGTTTTGTACATCTGAGCACACAGGAGCTTCTTTGGCTCAGCAAAAACGCTGCTGAATGTTGTTTCACATCCAAGTTATTCAAGTCACTTGTCTCATACGTGTTTTCTCTTTCACTCGCGCTTAAAACTCTAAGCGTCAGGCTCTGTTAGAGTTTAGTAAATATTACAGTTGTTTATGCTGCCATTAGCAGCGGTTGAGCTGCAAATTTCGCAGCTTTGCTGAAGCAAAAAGCCGGGAGACCCTGCTGACCGACGAAGGCACAATGCAGGTAGTTCAAGTGGACACATAAGCACAGGCAGCGGGCTACTATGCTAGACTGAAACTGCCTACACAGTGGCAGATGAGTGATTACTGAGGAAGCCTGACTCAGCCTTTGATATAAGGGGTTCCAATTAGCGTAATTTACGCTGTTGGTATGTTGCATTATGTGGTGGTTTTGTGACATAAGTGAAACCAATAGCTTAGGTAGAATTCCAACCTGTTTCATCACCCACTACTACTGCCTTTTCACAAAGTACTGGCATTACAGATTTTGCTAGAGAATTTTTGCTGTTGCTTGTCAACCCACACTGTCGACATGTTAAGTTCCATCTACTAACGTGCATGTATGCATCGTGGTATTCTTCATAGATATTGGTATCCCCATCGCCAATACCGATATTGTGTTTAAGTGCTGCTACTGGTGCCAATACCTATCCTGTACTGCTGCAACACTGAAACAAACATCCCTACTTACAATGGACATATCAAAGATTCTGTGAGACAGTTGTGCTGTAATGTTATGCAAGTTAAGGAGACAGATGAGTCTGACTAGATTTTTGCTTACTTAGATAACAGCAATGATGTATAAGTTCAAGCCATAAATCTTTCAAAATGTTTGTTCAGATCAGTTTACTGTGTACCTGAACAGATATCTCTATTTATCTCTGTCTTTCAGCTCCACAGCAGGTAAACAAGCGACTGAGGACACGCACAGCTTCTTCCCTTGAATATCTTAATGTAACTTTATGTAACACCTACGGACCACCTGATACAGCGCTATATAACTTTGGAGTGTGTCATTCCTGTCTCAGAGTTTTGTAGTATTTCCCAGATGCCAAAGGTCATCTAACCTCAGTCTCAATTCAGTGTAGTATGCAAAAAATAAATTCATCCTACACCAAAAAGTTTGGTCAGTCTTTGTCAATCTCATGCCAAATAAGCCTTGAAGGTTTGCAGGCTCCTGTAAAAAAAAAAAGAAAAATTTAATATGCTACCATGTAACCCCACATGGTTCTTTCTCTTCTGATGATGTGTTTGCTGGTGCCAAATTCTGACTCCCTGACAGAATCCGACTTCCCTTTGCATGCATGCGCATCATGCAGCCATATGGACACTACACTCATGATTACACTCACGATTTCAGTTGTTTATACACTGAAATAACTAAAATCATGAGTGTAATCTATAGCGTCCACATGCCGGCACGACGCATGTGCACTCACACGGGAGTTGGATTCTGTATCCTTCAGTGCACATGTACAGCTGTCCATGAGGCCGGCTCAAAGCGTGATTTGTACATACAACAGTGGTGTAAAAGTAAACTACAATCCACAACTGTAGGGAAACCCCAAGAGCAAAAACATCTTGCACAATGCTGCTCTAACAGTTAAAACTATAATCAAACTAATTATTTGGCTAATTTGGTATTTTTCATTTAAAGTTGTTTGCCATTTTAATATATTTTACTTTCTTGCTTTGGTCTTCCAAAGAAAAGGGGTGACATTACAAAACTGTAGTGGGGAGTGTGGCTGAGTTTAGCTTTTAGCTAAGATTATGGGAATGACAATTTTTCTTTTTGAAGGCCTAACATCACGCCCATTGCTAAGTAAATTGTTCCTTGTTTTATGATAAAATGTTTTATTTAAAACAGTGATAAATAAGCCTCCAAACCTGAAAACTGATAGGAAAAGGGTTAACAAAAGACAAACTTCTGAATACTAAATAAGGAAATTAATACTATCGTAACAAACAAGTATTCAAGTATTAGAGGTTTTCTGCGCAGCCTTAGTCATTGGTCAATCTATCTGAACAAGCCGTTTATGAAAATGTGCTGTGTTGCGATGGTCTGGCTATAATCAGGTAGATCTCAGTACATTTCATAAGAAAAAGTGGTAAAAAGAGCAACAGAAACTCACCACATATCACCCAAACACAGCCAGTCTCATTTGTGCACTTGTCGCAGGTAGAGAATTTACAGGCATCATCGGCATCTGAAAAAGACAATTAATAAAATAAACACCAGAAATACACTTGATCTTTCACTGCTTGTTCACATCATACCCATACACATCCTACCAATATACACAACTGCATTTACATTCTATATATGTATGTGTATGTATACACACACACACTTAGCAGACGCTCTTATCTACTCTAATGCTGTATTGCACAGTAGTATGCAATTACTTATGACAAAAACCTGCCCTACTTTTCTTGAGTATCTTCTGCACACTCAGCAGTAACAGGTTATTTATTGGTGTAGGGTCATAAAGTTATCGAGATAAAATTTATTACATCAACTTAACATAGACAAAACGTTGGAAAATAGTCTATAGCAATACTGGAATCATCTGGTTACAGTTTAATGGCTCATCAGCCCATACCGCCACTGACAGAAAACCGCCCAGTCTAGAACTTTCCTGGCTAACGGTTAAGTGAGAGTTTGTGACCTGTCAGTTAAATTCAGTTAAGTTCAGTATATGAACACTAGACAGGACAAAATAGTAGCTAGCTGTCGCCAACAGAGACGGCTCAAAGAAGGTTAGACCTCTCCCACCACCCACACACGGCTAGTATTACACGATGTAAGTTAGACATGTAAAGACAGGTATTAAACAAAGAAGAATTGTTGTTAAGAATCAAGGTTACGCCTGATTATCAGTGTAGCGTAACATTAATCGACATTAAAATATAACATTCGTTGCCCTGAACAAATCTAGAGAGACTTTACTGTTGACACAAATTGACGTTATGCGTACTGAATAACATTAACGCAGATATGGCCGATACAGCCTTTGACAACACAGACAAGAGAATTTATAAAATATATTAAAACGTTATCAGACAAAACCAACTCCTCTGTTGTTACTTACAAAGCAAAAAAACAGAGCACAAGTTAAGGCCATTTGTCTACCCTGAAGAGGCTAACCTGGCTAGCAGTTAGCAAACGCGAGCTGCAGTTCGGTTATAGCTACCTTGGCCGGCAAAAAACAGTCTCATTAGCCAGTTTTCTACTTAACGTTAATCATATTTCTCAATTATTGTTAATATGAATATAACAAGCGCATTCCAACATTAATAAAGAAAACGATTAGCTAACGTTAATATTATTTCGCCAACGGCGCGGTCGAGTAAGAAGTTCTCCAAGACTTAGCTAGCTAGGTGCTAGTTATCGTAGCTAAGCTGGCTAAAGGGCTAACAAATCAACAATCTCACTTACTCGTATCCTGGATGCTGGATCCTAGAATAGTTAGTACGAGTGTCACGAAGAAAATTCTCCAAAGCATCGTCTTGGTTTTATATTTTCCCCGTTTAACTGCCTAAAATACTAGACACCAAGCTCTGGGAATCAAATTTATGCTGGATGTGTACTTTGTAACGCTGCTCAGCGGCGTTTCCTGCTTTGCAAGTCATGTGGCTGTTTTTTGGCCCTAATGCCACGTGTTCCCTCCCCCTCCGTCCAGGCGTAGTCATGGTAACGAACTCGATTGCACTTGCATTACGATTTTATACTAATAACGCAATTGCTACTAACATTCAACATGTACCGGGTTTTAAAAAGAACCAGTGGACTGATTAAGTACTATGTTAACGCTGGAAGCACTAGCAGGATCCTACAGAAGCCTGTTTCCACAAAAAAAAAAAAAAAACTTAATGGCTATATATATATATATATATATATATATATATGCGCCTTAATGATGAGATAGATGTTTTTCTCCAGTGGCGGAAAGGGCCTTCCGTACAAGACAGAGACACTCTTGACATCTTTGCAAAAAAGAGACCACTCCATGTCCTACAGCGCCGCTTGCTGGAGTGCAGCCTCCAAGTCTCTCCTCTGTAATCATGTAATAAAATCTTATCTTAATAGTTTTATAATTAGCGTCAGGCATTCTCGATTCCAGACAGAATTCTTGGGTCATGTTGCACCACTTATGGGCAAACTTATTTCTCACACAGTGTTTCTGTCCATCTTTCCAGGAGGAAAAGACTATTCAATGCTAGGGGTCAGAAAGGATGTATAGTTATCAGGAAGCCATTAGTGAGAAGATTAAAGGAGAACATTTGCAGTAGAACACTAAATCTTGACATCTAATATGTGGAGTAAGCTTTTATGAATTGAGAAGTGTAACGTCCTTCACACCTCAGTGGTCCATATATGGAAACTAAGCTTCAAATTTGATCTGTTTTGCAATTTGTTGTTTCTGTGGTGTCTTGAAAACCAATAGAGGCCACTAGTTTCCTGTGGAATACCTTTAGATCCCATTACAAAACCATCAAATGCATTTAGAATCAGCCACTGGTAACCTCTTAAACCATTAGGATCCTTTACATTGTGATATCAACCCATTTAAAAAGCCAAAACATATTACAAAACCATTAGGAACCAATAGAAACGCTTAATGGTTTCTGTGGATTTGTCAGCCAAAGTAACAAAATAGCCTGTTTAATTCTAAGATTAAATAAGTAAACAAGGTTCATGAACATAATTATTGACTGTTGAATTATTGACGATCGATGAATTATTAACTGCACATAACCTCAAACAACATCCTAAGTGGACCTCAGAGAAAGAAAAAAATACAAGAAAAAAAATTAAGATATAAACTTAATGTTCGTCTGTACATGTAATTTAGTGTCATTCCTTTGGCCAGTAGGGGGCAGCACTGCAACGCGACTAAATTTAAGCTGCATTCGTTCCCTCGACACGAGATTTAAAAAGTTGCACGATATTTTCTCTTTTTTTTTGGCTCATTGATAAAATACTTGTCTATACTCCAGGTATCCCTAAATCAAGTTTACTCAATTGTACGAAACTAATAAAAATGGGGAATATTTTCATAGATACTGCTCATACTGGGCTGGGGGAAAAAAAATATCTGAGGTCTATAAAACTTGCAACCGACAGATGGCGACCTACGTGTGAAACTTACACTTTGGCCAGAAGCACTTTGGATGCCTTTATGAATTTATCAGTAGTCCAGTACTGTATTGAGCATCCCGCGCTGTTGAGAGAGAAGGGTGGAATTGTCTTCCTTATTTCTTTTGTACTTTTTGGTAATCCTATTAGTGCTGTGTAGCCTGTGTATGTTCAAAGACATTTCCTAATAGACATAAACAATATACTGGTAGAGCACTGCATGTACTCCTGCTATCATTTGAATGGCACATAACAAATAGTTGCAGGAAATGTGAGAAGAGCTGAAGTTTTCACCCTTTCCTGCTTTACAGGCTTTGCAGAGTAGTGCTACACTTGTGTCTGCAAACTAGTGCAGTGTTTCTCAACCCTGACCCTGGGGGCCCATTGCCCTGCACTTTTTAATGTTTTCCCTGCTCCCAACACACTCGATCCAACCAATCAGCTGATGCTATGTTAGTCTACTAGTATGCCATTCCCATGTAAAAGTAAAAGTGCCTTTACCTAAAACAGCTTGAGCAGAAGTACAAAAGTAGCAGCATTAAAAACTACCTAAAAGGGGGGGGGGGGTTCTACATAAATAAATGGTTAAGACAAACAAATTCATTTAAAGTGGTTTGATGTGAATGTGACGACAAAAAGAACGTACTGAATCAAAATCATACGCTGTAATGGTGACAAGAACCAAACATCTGCAGCGAATATTACCTCACAAAAACCCAGATCACAGAAAATAATTGACAAAATTGTTACAAATACATTGACTCATGCCTGAAGCATTGTTTCACGATAGTTCTTAGATTAAGTTTTAGAATGAAATGTATTTTTTGAAGCCAGTAGAGGAGAGGTACATGCAGGGTATATAAGGCAAAATAGTACCCAAAGAAAAGTTTTTTTTTTTGGAAATACCTCCAAAACATTACATATAAAAACCCAGAAAACATGTAGGTTCACTGAGCATTTTGTGTTGTAAATACATTGGCTATATTTGCATTGTAGTCATCGCAACCCCAGTTCCTAACACCACTGCTGTAAACAAATCAGTGAGAAGTCAGTAAATTAATCTACAATGAACAATTTCCCATCAGCCTTCAAAATCTTCAAGTACTAAGTAACTCATAGAACTGCAGTGAAACTTCTTGGCACGGGGCAGCGAACTGTCGTCCTGTACGGCCAGCCTAGAAGACCCAATACAGTATGATGATTTTTCCGCTCTTAACACACCTACTAAACCTCTGGCAATTAGTCGCTGAATTGAATCAGGTGTGTTTAAGCAGGTAAACCACTTAACTGTGCCGGACTGGAGTTCGCCACCCCTGTCTTAGTACATGCGGCATCTGTCAGCAAAGGAAGAAGAGTTTGTTAGGCTCTGTTCTTCTCTAAAATAAAATGCTAAAGCTTCAAAGTCAGAGGTGTGACCAAAAGCAAAGCAGTACTAATGCTGTCACTAAGGTAAGAGAATAAAATTGAATGAAAAATGGAATTAGTGCCTCAATTTTAATAACTAAAATATAACAAATAAAAATATATTCCAATACATTTAGAATATTTGAGTAGAAGTTATATCACAGAAGCGGGAAAGCGCTAATCCATCTAAATTTTATTTGAGGTAACTGAGCAAATATTAGTAGTTACTTCTCATCACTGGCCATTCCTGATATCCATACACAGTGTGTGTATGTAACACTATATATTTTTTAGCTTATTGTGGGCACCAAATATCCCAAGAATGATAGGAAAATAAGTAAGGTGTAACAAAGCAGTGTTTAAATCCATTAATACACAAGTCAATGGCAATACACCAAGATAACCTTGTCTGTGAGTGTAAGCGTGTGTGTGAGACACAGTGAAACTAGCTCAGCTGGTGGTACCCCAACAGTCCTGCTCCCACTTTTGGCAGAAAAGGGCAGAAAGTCCTCTACTCATCAACATGTGGTCCATGGTCCAAAGCCAAGCAAGAAAATGATCAACCGGAGAACATGGCATTCACATTAAAGTGCTCAAAACAACGTCATTATTACAATTATTATGAGTGCTGCACAATGAACTAACTAACTGTGTCCAGTGGAGCAAAGTATTAGGGTACATTCGAATGTAATTTAACTGGATCTGGATCTGCCTTAGAGTATTTAGAAATATCATTCCAATTCTATATAGCCATTCAGTTATTGAGCTACCAAAATACATATACATACACATGTACATATAATTGGTATCAGAACAAAACCTTATATTTCCAAATGGTAACTTTACAGGAGAAGCAAAAAACTTTCTTAACTTATAAAGGGAGTTAATGTGAGAACATTTTTTCCAAATCATATTGGACCATTTCTGTTGGTGTGTTCAAATGTAAAGAGTAACTGGATTTTTAAAATTTTGTCACTATTTTATCATCATCAACATTACATACAAAAACTCAGAAGACACATGTAGGTTCACTGATGGTTTTGGATGGTAAATAACATGGCAACATTTGCTCTGTAGACATGGTGACCCCTGATTCCTATTACCACCACTGTAAAGACATCTGAGTCTGTAAGTTTCTCTGCAATAAACCACTTTGCATCAAACCACTCTGAATGACTGTGTTTACATCTGAATGATCAAGTTATACAGAAATAAAAAAGAAAATTGGCAGTGTTACCCTTTAAGGTCAGTTTATGCACACATTAAATGATCCAGTAGTGAATTGACCCTAAGAGTATAATTTCATCAAAGACCAGGCTTAACCTTGTCTTTGCGTAGAAATCCAGTCAGAGGAACAGTTCACATTCTTCAGGTCCTCCAGTGTCACTGAAAATAATTAATTTCTATGATGTTTACATGTTTCATCCTACTTTACTCATAGCGCCAACAATAAGGCAACATTTTAATCTATGTTCAATTCTGTGTGTAATTCCTTTGTATGAATAAAGTTTTGTTTAAAAAATGTTCTATTTCAAACATTTGTTGATGTTTGTGAGGACTAATATTTCTTTTTTAGTGAATAGTGGGGATTTCATTGAGGGTTATCATATGAACCTTCAACTACAGGAAGTGCTTTTAACATGAGGGTATCTAGCATCACATCAGGGCAACTAGCATGGACTAAAACATTAAGGCCAACCTCATCATCACTGTGTTAAGAGTAATAAGAAATTAACAAACTAATACTGGGTCAATAGGCAGTTGACCCAAATGGTCTGAAGATCTACACTGACAGTCGGTGCACTGTACCAACTGATACCAAAAAATGCAGCTTTTTAACTTAAGGAAGTAAATAACAATTTTGAGTTCATTAAACTTGTCATATCAAGTGAACAGAGGAATAATTATTTGAAGTTCAATGAACCCAGTTGGTTCCTTTTTTTACAGTGATTTGCATGTGTTTATGCACACCATGGTTTATTTGTGGATATTATTATTAGTAGTAGTGTTAGTATTATTATACCTTTATTAATTGTAAGTATTGTTGCTGTTGTTGTTCCAGGATTTATTTATTTTTGCTTAATCTGATTCAAATGTAATGCAGGTTCTGCCAAGATGTGGTAACCGCGAGTGAGCACAGTAGGAGGAGGAGGCAGAGCGAGAGAGAGTCACACAGAGAGCGAGAGAGAGAGAGAGAAAGAGAGAGAGAGAGAGTGTGTCTCGTTGGTTGAGAGGTGCAAACTGAAGTATCACATCCCGGCACCGGCTGCTCCAGAAGCTGGGAAGGCGATGCATGAAGGGCTCAGGTGCGTAGCTACCGAATTCCTCTACAGATGTCAGATGTCCTGACTGGCGCTCGCGCGTTGCTCTCGCTGCAGGACAGATGCGCAGATGAGGCAGCGCGTTGTTTATTATTATTCTATATGGCCACTCAGCCGCGCGGTCGGTCAGCTGAATGTGGACGGCTAAAGCCAGCGATGTTTGCAAACGCGTGAATGAAAAGGAGAAGTCGATCGCTCGCTGTGCTGAATTGTCTCTCTCGACGCGGCTCGTCTGTATCGGGGCTCAGTATAGATGCTATAGGCTGCACTCCGCTGAGGAGCGAGGCTGGCACGATGTTTGTTACACAGAGAGCGTCCGTGCTGAAGAACAGACACGGGTTTGTTCTCGGTTCTAAAACGGCGTGGCTGCTGATTCTTGCAGTCGAACCGAGGCGTCCAGCGCGTCGTGGCGCGCGGTGTAGTTCTGCTTTCACCTTCAAGGCGCGTGCTTTTGTCCATGTGCGCTGTCCACGGTGCTGAAGCAGGCTGCAGGGCGACTGGGGCCCCCAAAAGGTCGATTTCTGTTTTGGTCTTCTTCCCTCCTTGGACTAGATCTACTGTACGCACTGAAATATAGGCATGCCCTGGTTATTACAGTAAACTGATTGTGAGATATTTGCTTGTATAGTTTTACACTAAATGATGCACTGTAGGCGTATACGCGCAAAAAACATTTCAAGCGATTATGTGAACGAGCACTGGTCTATGCCCAACAGGGTTTGTCCACAGTTGAACGTGGCAAATAAATTCCAGTATATGTTTCACGGCTTGACCTTTACACAGCAAAATCTCCAGAGCTGTTTTCACTCGGATGGCGCTGACTTCACTATTACAGAGCTGAATTCAGCGTTTGATTCACTCTCACAATGTTTGATTCACTATCCTAGTGTTGAATTCATTCTTGATAGTCTTGGCTTCTCTATTACAATGTTGAATTCAATCTCACAGCGTTTGATTCGCTCTCACAATGTTTGATTCACTATCGTAGTGTTGAATTCACTCTTGATAGTGTTGAACTCATTATTGATAGTGTTGTTTTCAGTTTTATAGCGTTACAATCTCACAGTGTTTGATACACCTACCCAGTGTTTGATTGACTCTTATAGTGTTAAATTCACTCCTAATAGTGCTGGGCTCACTGTTACAGTGTTGAATTCAAACATACAGTGTTGGATTTATGCTTATAGAGTTGAATTCACTCTTAATAGTGTTGAGTTCCCTTTTACAGCGTTGAATCTCACAGTATTTAATTCACTTTCCCAGTGTTGAATTCAATCATAGAGTGTTGAATTCATGCTTATAGAGTTGAATTCACTCTTCGTAGTGTTGGATTCACTTTTAATAGTGTTGGATTCACTTTTAGTGTTGAGTTCAATTCATTCTTGATATGTTGAGTTCACTTTTGTAGTGTTGAATTTAAGCTCACAGTGTTTATTTACTTTCTCAGTGGTGAATTCACTCTTAATAGTATTGGATTCACTTTTACAGTGTTGAACGCACTCTTTTAGAGTTGAATTCACTCTTAATAGTGTTGGATTAACTCTTAATAGTGTTGGATTCACCTTTACAATGTTGAAGTCAATCATACAGTGTTGAATTCATGCTTATAGAGTTGATTTCACTCTTAATAGTGTTGGATTCAACCTCAATAGTGTTGAATTCATTACTAATAGCCATGGGTTTACTTCTACATTGGTGAATTCATTCTTACAGTGTTAAATTCACTTGGAAGAACAAAATTTGTCTTTATAGTGTTACACAAAATTTATGTCTTCTCATTTGACGTGTCAGTCAGTTAAATATGAATAAATGGTGTTACATCAACACATTTTTAAAAACTGAAAAACAAGCAAAAAAAACAATTGACACATTTCAATCATATAAATTCAAAGCTCCATGTAGTGTTGGTGTAGGTGTAGTGTTCGCTCTTAAAGTGTTTTTATTCCACTCTAACAGCGTTGAAGTCGTTCTAACAGTGTTGAATTCACTCTTAGACCGTTGGGTTCCCTCTTCCAGCGTTCATTCGTGTCAAACTGGGCTTAAATAGACACTGTAGGTGTTCATTTATCACTGTAGGTCTGCTCTGGTCGCTGGGGATTCTGCTGCGTGCGGCTGGGTAATTGGGGATGTTTAAAGTGTTACACTTTCTCTGGCCTACTTTTCTTTCCTGCACGGCCTCTAACTGTCTGCTTTCTCTCTCCAGGATGCTCGTGGACGCTCCTCCATCCTCCTCGTGCCAAGCCATGCTCGCTTTGTTAAACGCGGATCTAGCGCGCACCCCAAGCCGCTCCTAGTCCCCGCAGGCACGCCTGAACATGTATCATCGCCCGTGGCGTGCGCCCATCCCGCTGCTCCTCGCGCTGCTCCCGCTGCTGCTGCCGGCAGCGCTCTTTTCCTCCCCGCGCGCGCTCGCAAGCCTCCACGAGCGTTCGGCGGTGCCGCGCGCCGCGGCGCGCTCCGTGGCCCGCATGGACGGCGACGTAATCATCGGCGCGCTCTTCTCCGTGCACCACCAGCCGTCGGCCGAGCGCGTAGCCGAGCGGAAGTGCGGCGACGTGCGCGAGCAGTACGGCATCCAGCGCGTGGAGGCCATGTTCCACACGCTGGACCGCATCAACGCCGACCCGCACCTGCTGCCCAACATCAGCCTGGGCTGCGAGATCCGGGACTCGTGCTGGCACTCGTCCGTGGCGCTCGAGCAGAGCATCGAGTTCATCCGCGACTCGCTCATCTCCATTCGGGACGACTCCAAAGAGGGAGCCAAGTGGTGCGTGGACGGAACGCCCTCCAGCCACCCGCCGCCCACAAAGAAGCCCATCGCGGGGGTCATCGGGCCCGGCTCCAGCTCCGTGGCCATCCAGGTGCAGAACCTCCTGCAGCTCTTCAACATCCCGCAGATCGCCTACTCGGCCACCAGCATTGACCTCAGCGACAAGACCCTCTTCAAGTACTTCCTGCGGGTCGTGCCCTCAGACACGCTGCAGGCGCGAGCCATGCTGGACATCGTGAAACACTACAACTGGACCTACGTGTCCGCCGTGCACACAGAAGGTAAGACATCAATTCTGTCTTATTTTGGAGAGATGCGCCTAATGAATAACGGATTATGTATGTATGTATGTATGTACGTATCTATCTATCTATCTATCTATCTATCTATCTATCTATCCGTCTGTCTGTGTCTATCTATCTATCCATCTGTCTGCCTGTGTGTCTGTCACATTTTAATGCACCGTTTTTATTTTTAACATATTGCTTAACATATTGGGAAAACAATAAAACATAACTGTAATATATGTCATAACTTTTGCACAGGCCACATTTTATCATTTTATGTTAAATTCAGCACATAAACAGTAATTGTGTACTAAAATGTGCACACATACATTCTCTTTAGAAGATGTGTTAACTTGTTGAAAGAACACGTAATTTTACCAGGACGGCCAAACTTTTACATATGACTGTATATCTGTATATTTGTCTGCGTATCTATCTGTCTGTCTGTCTGTCTGTCTATCTATCTATCTATCTATCTATCTATCTATCTATCTATCTTTCTGTGTGTCTGTCTGTCTGTCTGTCTATATATCTATCTATCTAGGCATATTTCTTTTTTAATCTATTTATCTGTATATTTGTGTGTCTATTCATCTACGTATTGGTGTGTGTCTGTTTGTCCGTTTGACACTGACTTTTTGCATTATAGTAATAAACACAGAAATTGGCAGTTTGATATGTTGAATTTCAGTATAATAGTCAGAGCAGCACTCTCCATTCCCGTTGATGTATAATTAAATGCTAATTCTATTCCATTAGATGTGTACAAGTGGGCTCTCTATCCCTCTAATTATTTGCATATCTAAGCATGCCTTAATTAATCAATCAGCTTCTCCATATTTAATGAGGGAACTAATGCATTCTTCTCTCTGCCGCTCCCCCTCCTGAGGCTAAATGGCCTGCACAGCTTTAGATTTACCAGTCACCACTGTCCATTGAACTGCCTTTTAATGGTCTTATGCTTCTCTGAGAACCCTGAGATATTCTTGTCAGATTTCAAAACTCTCAGATTGCCGAGCTGACAGATTTCAACCTGTCCAATGTCTGAGCTGACCAACATTCCAAGCTGTCTGGTTTCTAAATGGTCCGATGTCTTTGCCGTCTGACTTTTTATGGACATTTTTTTCTCTGACAGATGCCCAGACTGATACATTTCTTGGCTGCTCAAACAGTCAAAGTGTATAGGCTGGGCCCCTGTAGAAGCTCAAACTCAGTTGACATTGGCTCATAAAATGTGAGTAAAGCAGCAGCTGCTTTATACACACGCCATAATCACCTATGTTGTCTCCACCTCTACGCAGTGGTCTGTAATGTATACTGTGTTGGCTCACCTGTCTCTACAGCTGGTTTCAGGACCACATATAAGCAGTATAAGCACACTTAGGGCCCCTGAGCCACAAAGGGCCCCACAAGTAGTAATAGTTAGTGAAATGATATGCATATCTCTTATAATTTATTCTCGTATTTACATATTATAAACTTTTTGTTTGTCTATTATAATCAATCATAAATAGCTGATTTGTTCACAGAGAGCTTTGAAAGCTGAAGTTTATTTACACAAACATAGAAATTGCTAAAATATAACATTTTTTTTCATTCTTGCTTGCCAAATAATATGACTGAAGTGGGCAGGGGGATCCCAAATGGAGCGTCGCTTGGGCCTACATACAGCTGTACGCAAAAGTTTGGGCACCCGTGATCAAATTACGTTTTGTCGATTTTTAAGTCAAAATAAGTTATCACACCCTGTATAGAGAACACATTTCTAAACAGATTTTAATGCACAATTACTGTGTATGTGTAAGATATTAGGGAGAAAATTTGACATAAAATGTAACCTGTGCAAAAGTTATAGTACATATACATTTTATGGTGTATTTTTTTCCGATATATTAAACTCAGCAGTTAAACAGAAACTGCCATATTTAAGTGTATTCACTGTAGAAAATGTGTTAGTTAACTTCAAAACATTCAATTTGGCTGGGGATGTTCATTCGTTTGTGTACAACTGTATGCTCAGAAAAGGCCCTAGCTGGTTTGACGCACTCTATGTGTAGTAAAGTTTTTGACGTGAGTAATGTTTGATGTTTAAGGCAATTAAGTCCAGAGAAGTATGAAACTGAAAATTGTTTCTATTTCTATCAGTCATAAAGTACTTTGGGAGGTCAGTTCTCTCAGGCCTGTACCTTACTGATATTGCCAGTTCCACCTAAAAAACATAATTGATGTGGTAACAAGCAGTTTAGCTGTTTTTCGAACGTGTTATTTGATTACGATGACGTTATATTCTTCATCAGTCCAGTGGCAATTAGACATGAAATGTCCGGTATATGTTTATCTTGTGGGTGGCCTCAAAATGATATTGTTAGACATTTGCAGTAGCTAAAAATGCAGATTTGAGATTGCATTGTTCATAAAAGTAGGTGTGCATGAATTTAGCATTGAAAGTGAACCCACATGCAAACACACACACACAGAGTTAGGCACAGCAGCAGCAGCTGCACTCCTCTGCCACAGACATCTTCAATGCTGCCTGTTGCCCCTAGCAACAGCAGAGGTCCTTGATTGCATTAATTACCTGGCCAGATTCAGATCTATCTGTCTGACTAGCTAAAGCATTTTAAATAGCCAAGTCTCAATGAGCATCAGTTTGTCAGCCCTATGACTGGCAAATGGCAGAAAAATTGGATTGCATAATTGTGTTCCTGGTGCAGTGATGGAATCTCACAGTCCAGTGTTATCAAAGCAACACAAGAGAGAAACTGATGGAATTAGGGTTGTAGTATATTGTTGAGATAAATTAATTTAGTATCACGGAAGTTCCTATTACAACAAGTTAGAGGTCATAAAAAGGAACACAGAGGTCACGAAATGTGAAACCGAGAGAGAGAGAGAGAGAGAGAGAGAGACAGAGAGAGAGGAAGAGAGAGAGAGAGACATTCAGAAAAAAGACACTACAGCCTGAAGGAGCTAGTGTGTTAAATACAAAACATGGAAAGTTATGAATTGTCAATGTTACACCTGGTATAGAAGCCCTAAAGGGCCATGGATTTGCATGTTTTCTATTCTAAGACTTGACATTTATGTCATTATCACAGTAAAACAAATGTTTTTTTTTTATCAAGATCTCAAGTTATTTCTATCATTATCACAATATAATGGATATTTTATTGAGACAACGTTTGTTACGTTGTGACAATAGCATAAATATCTTGAGAACCTGAGAAAACAATATTCGTTGGGTCATGATAATGATATAAAAACTTTAAAGAAATGAAATTAATGTGTTAGCATTGAAAAAATGGAGTAAAAAAACATATGGCTCATGGCCCTTTAGGGCTTCTGTAAGTTGCGGCTTGTGACATCCTTCTAATAGTTCTTCTCATTCTTTTGTTTTGCATGTTTCACTTTTGCACATTGTTTTATACTAAGTCTTTAGAGTGTATACGAAAAAAATTGAATTGTGAGATGAGAAACGGATAGATCTACTCCATGGGGAGAACTCCTAGCAACACAAAGCTAATCTCAGTATATAAAACCATTCATTCATTCTTTCACTTCATTCTCTAATCCATCTAATAAGAACACCCTGCATGTTCACACCTCTGTTGGATTGGAGTTTTAGTTCATTTATAAGAGAAATTGACATTGACTTGCATTCAGTGTCCTACAGAGGCACCTCTTCAACTGCAAAGTCAATTCAATTCAATTCAATTCAGTTAAATTCTGTTCTGTTCTGCAGTTCACTGCACTTCACTTTAGTCTTGTTCAGTTAAAAGGAGTTAATTATATTTCAGTACAATGAATTTAATTTAGTTTAATTCATTTCAGTTCAGTTTCATTCAGTTCAGCTTTAATTCAGTTTATTTCTGGCCAATTCAGATTAGTTGAGTTCGCATCACGTCACATCACTTCATGTCACGTCACGTCATGTCAAGTACAATTCGGTTTTGTCTAGTCCAGGTAATTTACTTGAATTTGAGTTTATTTCAGTTCAGTTCAGTTTAGTTCTGTTTAATTTAAATTGTTTGAGTTAATTTCAGTTCAGTTAACTTAGTTAAATTCAGGTCATCTCAGTTTAACATTTAAAAACTCTTTGAAATTGTAAGGTCTTTTTATATTCCCTGCACATCCTTGCTCCAAACAAGTTTCCCTTCAAATGTCGCTCCAATGTGTTACTGTAAATAAAACTTCATAAGAAGTTGACCTTTTGAAGTCAAGGGGGAGAACGTAATGAGCAGCCTTTGAAGCTGATATTGGGGTACAGGGTTATTCAAATCAAGCAGCGTTATCAGACTTTAGTCTGCGTCCATGCATGCAATCACCAGCTCTCTCGTTCTCCCCACTCTCCTGATTAAAAGAGCTGTCCAGAGTGCACGCAGTCAACAGCAATGACCTCCACTCTGGATACTGCACCAGTTGTATTGCACTGAATTATGCATGAGACTGGATGGCTTTTGTCTTTTGGTGGCACCATAGAGTTTAATAGCAAATGACTTCCCATCCAAATTGCATTTTGTTACATACTTTGTTATGTGAATGTGTGATACGCTGAAATAAGCAGTGACTGTGAATGGTAACTAAAAGTCTATAGTGCATTTGGTGAACTGTTTTCCAAATGAATATTCATGTTATGTTTTTATGTTGACCATTTCAGATTGAACCTGCTGCCATTTGCATCTCAAATGGTAGTGACCATCTCTCCATTTCATGTCTTTTTCAGTTGCCTGTGTCCATTTTGTGTCTTCCATTGTGAACTGTCGTCCATTTCTAATCCTGGGTTCTGGCTGCTCTGCCTGTGTTCAATCACTGGAGGTAACCCAGCCTCCATTTTGGATCTTTTAAAAAATTATGATGCACTTCTTTAACTTCCTAGTTTCCATCAGTTGCATGCGTTTCCAACACTTGTTCTGACCAATCTGCTGATTTCTGTTTCAACTCAGGCAACTATGGTGAAAGTGGCATGGAAGCATTTAAGGAACTAGCAGCAGAGGAGGGGCTGTGCATTGCCCACTCTGACAAGATCTACAGCAACGCCGGGGAGAAACACTTTGACCGTCTGCTGAGGAAGCTGCGGGAACGCCTGCCCAAGGCCCGTGTGGTGGTCTGCTTCTGTGAGGGCATGACCGTGCGCAGCCTCTTGATGGCCATGCGACGGCGAGGCGTTTCTGGAGAATTTTTGCTCATCGGAAGGTAAGGATGTGTAAAATCCTTTTGAAAGTAATAATGAGAGGCATGTGGGGAGTTGCCAGTGTGAGTCATGTCTTTCTTCAGGGCATTTCCTCAAAACATAGTCAAGTCAAATTTATTTATACGGCACATTTAAAAATCAAGAAAAGTTGGCCAAATTGCTGCGAATCTTATTAACTGTCAGGATAGAATAGTCACGTTTTATTACAAGAGTCAGACAACATCATTCAAGGAATATCCACAACAACGAACCGGGAAAGTGTAGGCCAACAACCAGAACACCACAAGAAATTTTCACATTTGTGGGTTTCTTTGGTCGCTCGCGCAGACATCTTGCCGGTTTTTCTTTTTTTTCATAACACTCCGTTTGGAGTGTGCCTCTGAATATCTGTTTGGAGGGCCATGTAGCCCTAACACTTTGCCCTACCCCTCTATCTCAACTAAAATTGGGACACCCTTACCCTAGACGTGAACATGCAAAACAGAGGGCTAAGGGCTAAATGGTAGGGGCAAGGGGTGAAATGGGATTGGGCCTTAGTCTACCCTTGTCAAGTCGTAAAGACAGGAAATTGTCACCAAATCCTAAATGCTACTTATCTGCATTCAGCTAGTTATGAGCAACTGGTACATGTATCACATGAACAGTTTACTGGGACTGACCAGTGCCAGTTTGGTCGAAGAATGTACTGGCTGGTGATATTTGTCACAATTTGTAAACCAGGGTGACATTAAACAAGTTTACAAACTCATACAAACTTGTGTTTATGTCAACCATTCGAGTAAAACTTCATTGTGGTATACTCAAACATATATGAATTTGTCCAACCTGCCATTAATACAGTGGAACATAACAAGACAAGATAAAAACATTGTTAACAGGGAAGGACTATGGAGGAAACAAGATTACAAAACAAAACACAAACGAGAACAAAACATGAAGGTGGAGCCTGGGCAGATCCAGTTTAGGGTGGAGCCAACTTGTGAACACAAAAGTGAATGCATTGCATGATTTTCAATAAATGTCGGATCATCTAGCTAACATGGTAAACAGTGCTGCTAACTAGGAGAGACGACCTGGTTAGCCTTAGCTTAGCTAGCATAATAACAGCTCTGCTCACCACCAGAAACTTCAATTCTGGCTAACTAATGCACAGACACAAGTTTAGATGATAATGATTCAGATCTAATGAAGTCGGGCAACTGACACTGAAGGGACAGAAAGGCGACATTAAACCTGTTCCTTGGTATTTGGATCTGTAGCCTGATCGGCTAACGTTATGTTAGCTTAGCAAGCAGGCTACTTAAACAGTACAATACACCACAGTATAGGTTTCATTGAGACTAACTGATGCTTTGCTGGAACTAATGTCTGAGAGAGTGAAAGGCAAGTAACTGATGTTGGAGTGACAGAAAGCTGAAATTAACCAGCGGGCACAAAATTTTATTACACAATTCTATAACCTAAGAATAGCTCAGTCGGTTTGCGTCGAAGTCACTGTAGTTACTGAATAATAAGCCTTAGTATGCCATCAGTCTTGGATTTAAAGAGGTTAAATACATGCATTTTAAATACCTTATTACCACAATACTAGCTAACCACAGAACACAGTAGGATTTTACATTACAATGTGAATTATTAAATTCAGAGCTACATTGTATAAAGTTGTTAATTTCGTGTATGACATCACATCCACTCTATGAACGTTGTATCTGTCTGCAATGATCTGTGACAACTGACTATTGGACATTCAGTCCAAGACAACTGTAAATATCTCTACATAGATTCCACATGGGTGGTTGTACTTTACACAAACAATCTATGTGGTGACCCATATATTGTATTGGCTTTTCTTTCCAACCATTCTCTTTCAAAAGCGAGCGGTCTGTATAACAAATGTTATCCTTTTTGAACATCAGTCTAAGGTGCATAAAGATAATTGGCAAGAAAGTTTCTTCTAGATGCGAGTGAACCTCTCTTTATAAAGGGTTTCTTTTCCAAACAAGCACAAGATGAAGTGCCCAAACCCGTATTTTTTCCACTGGCTCAAAACGACGAGGCAGTGGAATGCTTAGCTGTGTGTTACCACCAAGCACACAAACGCAAAGACAAACACACACAAGTTTCCAGGGAAACCGATTGAGATTAAAAATGTTGGGTGCCAACAGAGGCGCTTTTCACCACTAATGAATAAGTTGTGATGCAGTCGCTGGAACACCAATCTAGAGGGTGAATTCTGCTCCCTGTCAACACTCTGCTCTTGTCCTCTGCTGTGTTTGTGTGTGTCTGTGTGTGTGTGTGAGAGAGAGAGAGTAAGCGAGAGAGAGAGAGAGAGAGAAAGAGAGAGAGAAATAGAAAGAGAGAGAAAGAGAGTGAGAGAGAGAGAACGTTTGATTTGAAGTTTGGAAAAATGCTGCAGGCTGAGCATTAAATATTCAATCTGGCAACCTCTCAGGAAATGTAGGTTTATGCCAAAAAACCTGCAGGCGAAGAAATGCTGTGTAGTGTTTCTTTTTAATGCCACAGTACAATATGAAGTAAAATCATTATCAATGCTTTAAATATGAATATGAATTAATGACACTTCTCATAAACAATGCACCAAACCAAATTTACAGATTATTAGTGTCAAGACCACTAGAGATATAGTATGAGTCAACACTGAGACCTGGACACATCGATCCTGAGTCAAGACCAAGACTATGTAGTAGTTGAGTCCGAGTTAAGAGTGAATATTTTTTATATATTTTGTAAAACATAAAATTCAATAATATATAGCCTAAAATATAAATGAATATTATTCTTATTATACTACTTTTAGTTTAACTCTACACTGATACCTTTGGAGGCAAATGATGGTTATTCTCTGTCCCTTCTTAAAACATATTGAGACGCACCACCTAAACTCAACTGAATATAGACCAAACAGCATCCATCCGTTATTATTACATTGAAACAACCAATCTGCCTAGTTAAGCTATCATGGAAAGGATTAATTATATTCTCAACTGGCAGCAAACAGATGTAGGGCAGAAATCTCAAACTCAATCTACCTGAGGGCCAATAGCCAGGTCACCTTCTCTAAAAGAGGACAGTAGAAAATATGTAGAGAAAAAGTGAATCCTGTATTTTTTTTTCAAAATATGAATTGTAACAACATATATGAACTCATTTAAATGCATCTAAGTCAATGCTTATGAGCAAATCTTCTGTCACAACAAACCACCACTACTACTACCACTACTGCTTCTTCTTCTTATTATTATTATGATTATTATTATTATGATTATAGTATAAATACATAGTGTTTAATAAACATTTTAGCTTTCACTTGAATTAAATAAACTAACATTTAACAGTAGAATTACATGGGACTCTTATAATGATAGCATTAGTGTTTCTGCTAATTGCAAGTGAAATTTTTGCAAGTGACGTGTTGAGATTGGAGAGCAGTTATCTGCATTCTCAGTGGATTTGTTTAATGATTCTGTTCATTTCTTAATTCTGACATGCTGTATCTACCGCTGTGTTATGAATAGATAAATGATGAAAAAATTCAGTTTTTAATTACCTCAGACAGAGGCATTGCACTCAGCTGGTCTTGAGAACAATTTCACCTTACCCCGAGACTGAGACAAAACCAAGTCCAAAGATGTTGAGATCGAGTGAAAACCGAGACCATTAATTTACAATCCATTCGAAGTACGTTTGTGTTTGTGAAAGTGCCTGTGCCAGTAGAGTGAAATGCAGGCAGAGTTAAATGCACTTTAACAGTAGTCACTATTATTGTCACTATTGCTGAAAGAAAAAGTGTTTACCATGCATCATCACTAGCTGCCAAACCGCTATATGTCTTAGATGGTGCTTTGTCGTCATTTCACTGCATGTCAGCTGCTCTGTTAAAGGTATATTAAAATACACAATAGGAACTGCGCTTCTTGGAAATTGGATTTTGTTGAAACTTCTCAAACTGACATTTCTCAAAACAGCACCTGTTGTTGTGTCTGGAGCTTCACAAAAGCCCAAAATAAGTTCTTTGTATTGTATGTTACAAATGCAAAGAACACATTGAAAGAGGAACCTCACAGGCTCAAACATCTGCCAACAAAAGATCAGCAGTCCAGTCCATACAAAGAAACAGCTTTTGCTGAACATTTGCTGAAATTAAACCATGACTATGAGGTTAAAATGCAGAATGTCACGTTTAATTTCTTACCTGTCATAAAAAAAACATCTCCAAAATGGTAACTTTACAGGAGAAGACAAAAACAAACTTTCTTAACTTTTTTAAACAGGGATGGATTACTAACTGGGCTATGGTCCAGTGGCCTGGTACTGCTAGGGCCCTCAGAGAGCCTTGGGGGCCTCATAACCAGTCCACTGCAGATATTAAATTAGATGCATAAATAGACCTTACAAGTGTAATGACTGAGTGAATGAAATGGCCCTCGGCCCCTACCCTGCCACCTCCTGCAAATAGACATTGAACAGCAAGTCCCTTAGCCCTCTTCAAATAATTTCACACACAGAATTGCACACATGGTTTGTGTATGGTCTATTTTGTATAATGACATTTAAAATGATTACAAGCCCCCTAACACCACAAATGCACAGGAATACAACTATGAAGGAAATAATAGGTTATTGCACACTGACTGAGAATGAATAATTTTGTTTATTTACATTACATTTTCCTTCCTAAATAAACAAACACTAGGTCATCGTCAGAGTGTGGGGGTGGCAGGGCCTTCAAAGATGCTTGTGCCTAGGGGCCTTGTAAGACTAAGATTTGTCCCTGCTTTTAATGTATGCTAATGTGAAAACAATTTTATTCCATATAATTTCGGACCATTTTAACTGGTCTGTTTATTTTGAAATGCTCCCACAATGTAAAGGGTAGCTGCTGTGATCAAATGATGTAGAAATCTGTTGGGGGGAGCAAACATGGTACGTGGTCTTCATAAGTAGAAATGCATTTTTACTTTATTTGACAGTTAAACTTAAA